TTTTTTTTTGTAATAGTAGAAGCTGAATGCATTAAAACAAAATTTACAATGATCTTTTTCTAAACTTTAGCGATTATGACGATAAGAGTGAAATAAAAATTAGAACATGATCAAGATAACCTATCGAAGTAACGGTTTTCTTTTTCACGACCGTAACTTTCCCTAAACCAGACTTTGGGTTTACCGGTTGTGTGACTCTTGGAATAATAACAGGAGGAACAGGATCCACTGTTTTTGGGGGTAACCTCGGAAACGTTTCAGGTACCTGCCAAGAACTAACTACATAATTGATAAATTTGTTATAGGAATTTTTTGCTGTTGAAGAGTTACCTCAACCACTCTCAAATCATTCGGTGGCACTCCTTCGAAATCGTAGAGTAGGTACAATTGCTGTAAAAATTTACATAGGTTTTTACATTCCAAGCTTATCGTTAAAAAAATAAAATCAAATAAAGCCTCAAAAACTGACAGACTATTTCATACCAAAGTTCTTGATTTCCTAGACAATACAAGCAGTTCTGAAAACATTAATCTGCTAAATAGTTACCGAAAACCCGTTCACGATATTTTCATCATTACGACAAATTAGTAAGTAAAATCACATGCTTATGAAGAAAAAATAGTAGCAGCCTTACCAGGCAACAGCTCGATCTTTTTAAGAGATTCACTGCCGCAAATAGAGTTTAAAATTTATTGAAATATGAACCTGACTTCCCCATTTCAACTTCCTTAATTTCTTCCTACACTCATATGCTGTAATGTAAGATACATTTTTTTTGAAAAAGTTTTGGAACAACTTTTTTCTCAAAAATTGGAAAGTCCTTCATTTTATAGCAGTGTGCGAATCAATTTCATATAAAAACTGTCTAATCAGCAAGAAAGCAGCAGCCCGACAGACTCCTTAATTTCTAGCTGATCTTCACGCTTAGCTTTACGAGATATTACCGTAAATTTTTGGAAAACTTTAAGAAACTGATTTTCTAAAAGTACATTCAAGAATTCATCCACTTCTAGCATTCGTATACAGCTTGTTTATACCAAACTTATATGGAATACCGACCGAAATTAACGTTGACAAACAGTTTGCCAACAAAGGCGACATTTATTATTAGCAGAAATACACCTCAACCAGTTTTCAGAGTAGTTTCTTTAGCAAAATAATAGATGTTCACAAAAAAGACAGACATAAAGCAATTGAACAAATTTGACAGTTTTTGATAGAGCCAACTGTACACGAATTTATGATGACCATTTCCAGATTGTTTCAAGCTAAAATAAGTAAAAAAAAAAGAACGATAATTTAGTTTCAATCAACACTTGTAGACAGTCTTAAATGCCATAAATTTTATTGTTCAAAAGGTGTCCACTCCACTAATTGAGCCAAAAAAATCAACTGTTTATAAAAAAGAAAACAAACTTATTGCACTCGCAAAACCAGCAAAAATTTTAGTGACCTTTGCTGCATACTGTCAGACTTTGAATGTCAACTTAAAAAAAATGTAATTTAAATAGTTAAAATTCTGATTAAACAGTTCCACTCAAAAAAACGAAAATAATAGCAGTTGAGAAATTGATTAAAATAATTCTGAAAATAAAATTTACTTACGTTTGGCGGTAGTTTGCCGCTGATGAAGATTCCCCTATTTGCATCATATATTACATCTAAAATCAGCGAATAAGTTCAACTTTTTAAAACAGATGCAATTTGATTCAAGATTCTTTCACTTAAATGTCTACTTGTCTACTACATTTCATTAGCATTTTGATAATCATTGCCACTGTAAGTTGCAGAAAATTCACACATATCTACCAGTACTAAAATTTTCTTTTTTTTTTTTTTCGGGAGAACATAGACTAATACTGATAGTTAACTGAAGTTGACAATTTAGAAATGTAGCCAACTTAAAATTACAAAAACTTTGAAGAGACAAACTTGGTGACGCTAGGTCTAGCAAGAGCAGAAGAAAAAGTAGCAGATTTAACATAACCATAAACAGTTAGTTAACTTGTCGACATTGGACAAAATGCCAATGCATAATTTCACATCTTCAGTTTTTTACATAATTCTTTCATCACTATTTTTTCTTTTTAAACTTTTGTTTTTAGATTTGTTGTTAAATTAAATTTTTTACTTCCTTTTCTCAATACCA